GTTGGGGGGACACAAACATCCCGCCCAAAACAGCGATCATAGCCATCTCTCCCTCTGAGTTGAGACACGAACAGGGGAAGAGTACAGTTAAGTAGAGACCATAGAAATTCCTCCTTCCCAATCCAGACACAAGGCTGATGGGCAACGTGATGGCTCCGTGTGACATATTCTGCTTTTCTAATAGGTGGGTCTTTTGACTTCCATGTCCCATCTGTTAACCTGACAGCTGGTTCTTTTTCCAGTGCCTTCTGCTTAAATAAGGAGCACTTGCTTTGCAGCTGGAGGGGTAAATATTTTTCCCACTGTCTTGCCTTTGGGATAAACATGCAATATGGGTGACCCTGGGTCAGAGTGTATCCTTCTACCCCCTTCCTGCTAGACGAAAAAGTGAAGAAAATCATTGTGCCTCTCCCTCCCAGGCCTGTCACATGTGTGCCAAAGCTGTCTGCTTCTGGCTAAATGCAAAGTCTCACAGCAACCCGTACCTAAACACTTACTGGTGCGTTTTCTTCCCCACACTGAGCTAATGAAGAAGGCATCTTAACAACCACTCCCCCAAAAGCAGTCACATGCTTCCATAAATAAACTAACTAAAGGTAAATAAAATTTAAAAAACATATTTTGAATGGGTAAAATTCTTTACTTTTCCAAATCCTGGAACTATTTCCCCCCACTATTTCTCAAGACATCTCTTCCATTACTAAGCCAGAATTCTCTCCTTCGCGTTGGGCTATGTTTTTCCTCTCCACAGCACCAATGACCTTTAACATCCGATATATTTTGATTATTTTGTTTATTGTTGGTTCATAGCATCTCTACTAGAATTAAGGTGACTATATTATTTATCATCTAAACCAAGAGGTTTGGGAGAGTGAAAAGGAGCACTAATACAAATTATGCCAGGACAAAACTGAGACGTTCTCGAGGAAACACAGCTGTGGTTGCCCTACCTACAAGGCAAGTTCCAGAAGCTCGGGGACTTGGGTGTGACTTTTCTCACACCGGTGTCTCTACTGTCTAAGACCATAAGCACAGACACCCATGAGGTGCTCTGTAAATAGGTGCTGAGTCATGGTGGCTCCGAGCATGAGCTCTGAGTGGATGGCAGGGGTTCCAACTCTGGCTCCCACCCCAGTGAATTATATCATTTCCCTGCGGTAATTTCCCTGACCACCGTAGGCTTCAATTTCCTCATCTGTCAGATGGACACCAATGGGAGTACCCACCTCGAACAGCTGTGTGAGAACTAAATGAGCTCATCCACAGTGCAGTGTTGAGCACAGGGCCTGCACACGGCAAGAGTGGGCACTCCAAAACATTGGCTGCCAGCATCACTATTGGTCATTCCAAGACTGTCTGAAGAAGGTGCGTAGAGCAGATGGTTATGACACTGCCTACCCAGGCTTAATGTGACAACAGTAGAAGCCTCCTGTGTCTACAGGACGCCTGGTTGTGCCTGGCCGACCCTGAGATGAGCCCCTAGCCTGAGCCTGGCCTAGAGGAGCTCTCACTTGGGACTGAGGAGCAACTTTTTTCTAGAGATCAAAGATGTGGAGTCTGTAGTCCTCATGCGATCGACAGTCACACTTCCCGTTCTACAGAGAAGGCAAGTCCACAAAAAGAAAATGACAGCTGCTGCGGGCAGAGGAGGGAGCTGGGATACCTGAGGCCCTGGCTCCATCTCTGCCTCCCTGCTCACTGCTCAACCGACCCCTCTGAGGTCCTATGAGCCAGGAACCTCCTCTGTGGCCCCAGCCCCTTCAACCTGCCAACTGTAAACAGAAGGGTCCTGACAAGGGCCGTGGTAGGCAGATTCAACACACAAATATACAACTGATTAAAAAAAAAAAAATTAAGGGGGCTGAGGAGGAGAAGGAAAGGATGATACATATCCACTGGTGCGCACCCTTTGCCAGGCACCATAGGGAGGGATCTGCCAGCACTACTATGTGGTGGGTACCATATTTGTTCCCATTTTATGGATGAGACCACTGAGACTCAGACACCCAGGGAACCTTCCCAAGGCCACACAATTAGTTTACTGGGTGTCACTGCTGGCTTCCTAGCAGCCCTTCTATCCTCGGTGATTAATCGAAGCCAATCAACATACGGCACTCTCCCGGGGAATGTCAGTAGACCAGGAATGGGAGCGTGTCCTACACTAGCCCAGTTAGACTGGAGAGGAGCACTTCCATTTCAGGGCTGGGGGTTTTGCCTCTCCTGCTTAGGGGAACCAGCCGTAGAAGAAAGCTAAGTCCTTTCTTCTAAGCAAAGAAGAAAGAGAAAGTTCAAGAGTTCTCTTACTCTTCAAGAGAGAAAGCTGATGTTAAAATTGGCACTGTGGTAGAGTGGGTCAGATAAAATACAGGCTGCCCTGTTCAGTTTGAATTATAGATACACAATGAAAAATGTTTTGGCATAAATTTGTCCCAAATATTGCATGGGTCATACTTTTTTTTTCTTAAGGAAGCTCCATGCCCAGCGTAGAGCCCAGCATAGGCCTTGAACACAGGACCTGAGATCATTATCTTGACCTGAGCTGAGATCAAAAGGCAGATGTTTAATCGACTGAGCCACCCAGGTGCCCCAAAGGCCATACTTTTATACTAAAATAGTTCTAATTGTCTATCTGAAATCGGAATTTCTCAAGTGTCCCGTATTTTTTTTAAGATTTATTTATTTAAGAGAGACAGAGAGCGTGTGCATGCACACAAGCGCGGGGGCTCAGCGTGGAGCCCAAACGCCGGGCTCGATCTCATGACCTTGGGATCATGACCTGAGCCAATGCTTGAGTTGGACACTTGGCAGACTGTGCCCCTCTAGGCCCCCCCCCCCCAGGTGTCCTGTGTTTTTATTTGCCAAGTGCGGCACAATGGAGAGAAGGAGTACACACAATGGAGAAGAAGTAGGAAGCACTACCTCTGAACTTCTGGTTCTGCAAGGCCATTGATTTCTTTACTGTTTAAACACTTTAGAATTTCAGTCGCCTGTACCCCAACGCATCCTATTTCATGCAGCAAGTCAGAGGTTCCAACCCAGGCAGGAAGGATACAGAGGCAAAGTCACACCCATGTACAAATCCCAAAGGGACAGAAACTGAACACCATATTCAAGTCTAAAAAGCCAACGCTTAGGACATTGAACTTGTTTTCTCAGAGCTATATGAATGCAGCTTGACAGACTTACTGGAATTCTTCAGATTCTCCTCAGTCAATGTAAATTTTTTATTATAAAGTCACGGTACATGAATTCACTTAAACTGTAAAACCCCTTCATGAATACTAACAAACTCAAAAACCTCAACAAAGATGACTGTTCATAGCCACCAAAAACACAAAAACATCTAGCAATTCCAGATTAAGGAGCCCAATTTTTAGACACTCATGATAAAATTACATCCTTGTAATTTTGTTTAAAAAAAATTAGCTCCATAGCAAAATTTGACTTTAGGTCAAACCTCAAGCATTATAAAATAAATAAAATAGGAAGAGAATATAGAATGAGCAAAACTAAATAACCAAATGGGTAACCATAGGGCTGAGTTGCGTTGCAGTTTAAAAGTCCCGTGTGTGTGTTTGTATGTGTGTGTGTGTCTTGGGCATACTATTTACTCAGTATCAAAAATCTCAAGGAAATGGACCCAACGAGTTTATGTTTGAGATCAGGTCTATTGTCAATGAACAAAAATAGGATGTTGAGTTAGCCATTAGAGCTATGAAGAGACAAAGCAATTCCTGTATCTTTATTTGCATCTACCAGTTTTGAAGCCCTGTTCTGGGGTAGAGGCTTCTCCATAACGTGGAACACACAGCATTAACATCACCATCATCTGGGCTCCCTTCAAGCAAATAAAAAGCTGTAATTCAGGACATGTCAGTAGAGAACAATTACGAAGTTGAGGAAAGGTCTGACAGAGATATATTTGGAAAACAACAACATATATATGTATTACACACCTGGATTAAAAGAAATATGATTTATGATATTCCTGAACATAATGTTATGAAAATCTTTTTTTAAAATATTTTATTTATTTATTTATTTGACAGAGAGAGAGAGAGACAGCAAGAGAGGGAACACAAGCAGGGGGAGTGGGAGAGGGAGAAGGATGTGGGACTCGATCCCAGGACCCTGGGACCACGATCTGAGCCGAAGGCAGATGCTTAATGACTGAGCCACCGAGGCACCCTGTTATGAAAATCTTAACTGTCCCCAAATTAATCTAGAAATTTAACAAAGCTTCAATCAAAATACCAATAGGTTGGTTGGTTGGTTTTGGTGGAATAAGAGAAAGGCTTGATAAAATGTTTGTAAGTTTTATCTGGAAAAAGTAACAAATAAGAAACACGTGAATAGCAAGAGCAAGGGAAGGAGACTACCCAAACATATGTCACAAGTATTGTAAAGCCAAAACCATTAGAATAATGTGGTACAACCCCGGGACTACACAGGAAGCTCCATGGAACAGAAATGAAAGTTCAGAAACAGATCCACAAATATATAAGGATTTGTTCAACAACACAAGTATCTAAAATCTATGGGGAAAAAATGGATTCACCTATAAACAACGTTGGCTACCATTTTAGTAGAAAAGAACATGTGAGTTTTGCTGGTGAGACGTTTTAAAAGCCTGAAGTGGTAAAGGCTAAATGGGAGATCAGAATCCATCCATAACAGTATGCTAAAGAGTGATAGCCCTGAGCTCCCAACTCATGGCTCCTGACAGGATTCCCAACAAGAAAGGGAATGCTGTCAACTGGTGTGCCGCCTTCCCCTCCATTGGACCTCACTGGGTTTCCTTCCACACCAGCCCCGCACCGCCAACCCTTCTTCTCAGAGAGCATTTCTCTACCATCCACTCCCCCACTCTGTAACACAAAAGGATTCTGGGAAGCTAAGAGAAGTTCTCTACACAATTTGGATTCCCTGATTCCTCCAGTCATTGTAAGGTATCAGCTTGAACAACCCAAGAGTCACTAAACTTCAGGAATAAGTCTTACCTGTTTCCTCTTTTCAGGGGGAAGTGACGGATCTCCATCCTAAAAAGAAACAAATGTTACACTTTACTTAAAAAAAAATACGTGCTTAAATTTAAGGAACTGAACCAAACTCTGAACTAAATTCCGACCCTCCCACTCCTGCCCCCTGAAATCAAGTGTGCTGAACCAAATTCAAATATACTTTCTTTTTAACATTTTTTTTTTTTATTTGAGAGAAAGAGAGAGAGAGAGCATGAGTGGGGTGGGGAGAGGGAGAAGCAGGCTTCCTGCTGAGCCAGGAGCCTGACATGGGGCTTGATCCCAGGACCCTGGGATCATGACCTGAGCTGAAAGCAGATACTTAATCGACTGAGCCACCTGGGTGCCCCTCAAATATACTTAAAAAAATTAGGTATAAACTGAACCAGTTATTTTGGAAACACCTCTAAGAAATCAGTTCCACTTAGGACCAAACCTATATACTTTCTAAAACCATACGAATCAAGTAAATGCATGAATAAACTGGATTTATCAAAATTGTTTTTGAGCAGAGCCAAACCAGACAGTATTTCATTTGGTTTGAGTTGAATCCCTCTTTTAAAAAGTTAGAACCAAAGGCATGATAGTGGACGTGCACACGCTTGAGTTTTCTCTATGGGCTGAACAATTTTGGGGGCGGTAGGAAGAGGGGATAGGACATGCTCAAAGTGAGAGAGAATTAACTGGGAACTTGCACTCCTATCATACTTTCTGTCTTAAAACGATTCAATCCCCCCCACCTTCTGGCGCCACCTGGAATAAAAAGAGCTCAGGTGAACGTGTAAATGCTCAGTTAATGAGCACGCTTCTCTCCGATGCTGCCCGAATGTAAGTCAACATTATTTTGACCTGTGGAATCTTCCTATTCTATTTCTGCTCCAGGACAGTTCAATGACCCCAGCACAGACAGCTAAATGTTAGCCGTTGGGTCGGCGCTCAAAAACAGAGATCATATCCGTGAGAGAAAAAAGTACAATGCAGAATAGTGCTCTGCTATCGGTACCCTCCATCTCAGTATAATCTGTATCCTTAAAAATCTCACCACATGAAAACCCAGAGAGAATCTAAATGCCTGGGACAAGGGAAAGGTTAAAGAAATTATGGAAATGTTACTATGCAACTGTTTTTAAAGATGAATTAAATTTGTATGTATGGCCTAGAGAGACGACCCAGACAAAGTACTGAGTGAAAGGTGAGTGCTGGAACAACCTCGACACAGTGCTGACCAACAGCACTCTGCAGCGATGGAAACGCTCTGTATCTCACTGTCCAATACAGCGACCATCTCGGAAATCCTCTATATCCACGTAATCCTATACGGTAGCCAATGGCCACCTGTGGGGATTGAACCCATGAAATGTGCTGAGACTGAAGAACAGAGTTTTCAATTCTACTGAATTCTAATTAATTTCAAATGAAATTTAAATAATCACATGTAGCTAGTGGCTTCTGGATTAGTGCAGATTTATAATACGAATCCTCTTTAAAAAGCCCCATACAGGGGCGCCTGGCTGGCTCAGTGGGTAGAGCATGCAACTCTTGGTCTCCGGGTGGTGAGTTTTAGCCCCACCTACCCTGGGTGTAGAGATTACTTAAAAAAAAAAAAAAGAAAGAAAGAAAGAAACAAAACAACAACAACAAAATGATAAAAAAGCCCCATACAAATAAATTAATAAGGAGGCATGTACAAACACGTGTGTATGTGTGCATATTCCATAGGTGCTGGGGCAAGCAGTCTGGAAGCACAGACACACCAGCCAGCGACTGGGGCTGGGTTGTGGAGGAAATAGGGGTGACAACTTGCACTTCTTCATTTTTCCACTTTGGGAACTGTTTGAATGCGATCCTTTTTTTTTTTTTTTTTTAAGAACTGGCATGTTAAAATCCTCACTTTTTTTCTTTCTAAATTTTAATTCCAGCGTAACCCACTTTCTATCTTAATGAGGGCACAAGAACGTTGCCGTGACGTAAGACGTACTATCAGCTCCCGGTACTTCTTCTTCAGGGACTGGTGGCGCTCTCGAAGCTGATTGGCCATGAGTTTGTACTGGTCCCTTTCTTGCTGGCATGTGTCCAGCTCCTTGGAGAGGATCAGCAGGGCTTCCTTTTTACTCTCCAGCTTTCTTTTACACACTAGGTACTGCAAAACAAACAAATCCAAGCAGCTGGTCAAAAACGTCAATAGACCTCCATTTAACACACCCTGTGTTTCACGCATCCTGCCCGGTTGGTTTTGTTTTGTGGAGTTTTTTGTTTTTAGAGAACATATACCCAGAGACATTGGTCAGTAAATGACTTACGCAGTAAGCATACACTATGCAGACTGCTACAGTACCAGATGTACGCCCCTCACCACCGAACCAAAACCTTGGGTGTTCATGAACTTCAGCAGACTGGCATAAACGGATAAAATAATTTAACTGACATATAAGTAAAAAAGCAAAATTTTTTAAGTTACACGGATAGATAGATAGTTGGACCCAAATTTTGTTTTAAAAGGATTTATATATTCAGTAAGATTATGTAAAATTTTATTAAAATCCAATGAAATGATATACACAGAAAGATCATTCAATACAAATTTTGTAAAAATATTGGTAACAACTCTTGACACGTGTTTTTTACAATTTTATTCTTTGTGCTTTTCCATGTTTTCTAAATTTTCTAGAAGAAACCCATATGGCTATACTATAATAAAGAAATACAAAAAGTGTTATTAGAAATGACTTAATTGAACTATAAATCACTGCAGTAGATTTCACTTGCCCATTCAACCCAGCAGACATTTTCTCACCTGAGAATGTTTGCTCACTACCTCCACCAAGATGTGTACAACGTTCATAATTCCAATGCAGGCACCCACTACCCAGGGACCAACTCTGTTTAGCCACACTTTGATTGCCCCCAAACAGTTGGGAGTACTTGGCTGGAACTCTTCCTCAGAGAGACAGGATTTCTTTGTCCCTCCTTCTCCCCATCCCCCACCCCTCACACTGACCATGAACCACCCTCACCTGATAATCACCCACCACATGGGCCAGTGTGAGCCTGACTGGAACTCTTTACTTTTACTGGACATACTGCACCGTCTGGGGTTATTTACGTATGTGAAATGTGGCATTAAATACCTTTTGAATTTGCCCCGTAAAAGACCAAATTCAGAGCATTCATGAAAACAATTTATAGTTTCATTATACACGCTGACGTGAGCACTTTGTCATTATGGACGCTCACACAAAGCAGAGAGGGAATCAGCGCTCCCATACCATTGAAGTCAATGCTTTTATTGGACAAAAAGCATTACTCATATATAGTGCTTGCTTGGAACTGACTTTGTTAAGTTCAATTTCAAATAAATGAAAGGGGAAAAAGAGTTTTGTGCATTAGCACAATTTTTTTTCCTTAAAAAAAAAAAGTAATTACTTAGCTTCAAAAACAAAGGGGAAAGAAAAGCCATTCTGAGACAGATTTGAGTTCTAAGAGAGGACACTTCCACCTTGGGTGAATCTTATTCCTGGCAGTAATGAGGTTGGAATCCTGCCTTAAAACGTCCTGGATTTTTAAGACTTTGACATCGTCTTCATGGAGGCAAAAAATGGTTCTGTTGCCACTGTGATTTCTCAGGAGTAAAATCCCCAACGAGTAAATATCAGAGGAGAGAGGCTCAAAAACCTAACCGGCAATGTCCTAAGGGAGGTATTGAGATTTCACAGGAAAAAATCCCATTTACACACAATTTAACAGATCTGCCCTTGTGCCTTTGGTTCTTTGCCTGCGATCGGCAGCCTCGGTTGTCAGTGCTGTTAGTATTGGTGGCACAAAAATGGCCACCTTTGTCCCTTCGATTCATCAGATCCAACTCTGAGGCCCCAAAGATACTGTCTTCCAACTGGGGAAGAAAATTCCAATTGTGTGGAGACATTGTAAGGTGCCATAGGCGAGATTAGCTGTAACATCCGGTCTCCTGAAGGGGAACAGGTAAGGGCCACCCCTCAGCGGCAAAGTGGAAATTTAGGTTCCCTGAACTTGACCTGCTGTCCGTTAGGATCCAAGAGAGAAGCTGTTTCTCTCCCAAGGCCTGGTTCAAATAGGGCCTCGGAAGCTGGGAAGGGCAGTGATAGGACTCCCTTCCCTTGGGTCCAAAGTACCTGGCAGAAAACAGGCACAGAGGCCTCTGTGAAGAGAGTGACCTGGGATCTGCTGAGCAGCAATACTGCACTTGGATCCCCTTCAGGGCAGGGAAAACAGGACAATCATACCCGTCCCACGGGGTCAGAAAACAAATGCCTTCCATACAGAACCTAAAGCCAACAGCAGCAAAAGGGCAGTCTTTAGGAACCCACTGCTCGAATGATCTTCCTTCTGCTTACTATGGTCTAGAACAGCAAATGACAAAAATTGCCCTCCGTGCCATTTATTTTTATCAAGAGAATGAATGTCAGGCTGAAGCCTCATTTCTGAAGCAGCTCAAAGTGGTCCTGCCCTGAAGATGGGACAGCTCCCCCCTAGCCCCCTGACCCTGGTGTGGCAGCATCAAGAAGGAAGGCTAGAAAACACTGCTCTGTGTGCCCCCCGCCAGGGTGGGGGGGAGGTGCTTGTGAAAATGCGGATGCCCGGTCCTGAGTCTCCAGTACCGGCTCAGGAACCTGCATTGTTAGCCCGTTGCACAGGGGGTTCTTACTCTGGCCACAGTCTGAAAACCCAGGCTCTAGAGGCCTCCAGCTTCATGATGCCTCAGGAGTTAGAACCCTAACTGCAACAGTGAGAGAGGCCGGCAGGGGCCCGCAGGTCCAGGGGCAAGGCACGGTCCCGGGACCGTTCTGGGGCTATCTGTGCCACTTTTTGTAGCCCAGATGGGTTCTGAACAAGTGCATGCACGGGCTCTGTCTTCCTGCACCCGGCCAAAGAGCCTACATCTTTTGTCAAAATAACAGTAGAAAACTCTAGGAGGGGTGTGTGTGTGTGTGTGTGTGTGTGTGTGTGTGTGTGTGTGTGTAGGTGATGAGGGATCAGAAGGCAAGCTGAGGACAAAGCAGAAGCTCACACCCCACACCCCCCCCATGGGATATATGTGACATTCCTCATGCACTCCTAGCTGCCGTAAATAGTTAAGAGTTAAGGTCTTATAGAAGTCACAATTCTACAAGACAGGAGTCTCCCTCAGTTTACACAAGTCTTAGCAATTTACAAGAACAAAGCAATTCTATCAATGGTCTTCCAGAAGGGAATGTAAATACAATTAAATGTCATTATAATCTATAACCCATTGACAAATACTTGAAGCAGGCAAAGTGTAATGTTCCTTCAGAAAGCTCCCAACTATCTACTGTTAATGCCTTACTACAGGGGTAAACAATCTTAACTCAACAATGGCAAGGCCTCCGGTATCCTTTAACATGTGAAACTTCTTTCTCGAAACCTCCCTTTTTCCTCATTTCCCCCAACCCCATAGTATCTAATCAGCCAGCCCCCCAACCCCAGGCAGCAGATCCTTCTGCCCACGGGTCCTATGCTTTAATGAACTACCATTTTGCATCAAAGACGTCTCAAGAATTCTTTCTTGGTCGTTGGCTCCAGACCTCACCCCACCAAACCTCACCTATATTCGAAAACCACATCAGAGGGGGCGATCCTGGGGAATGGGAAGGAATTTCTCATACTCGTTCTAAAATGGTTATAGTTCAGTCCACGTGGTGGCAGCTGTTAAAATGACCCATTTCCTAGCCCTCTGTTTGGAAACAAAACAACAAAAAAACTGGAAGGAAAGGAAGAGGTCCTGAAGAGCCTTCCTTGTTGGCAGCTCTGAACAACGGGCAAGTGCAGGGATCCAGCCCCAGCTTCGGGAGGGACCAAAAATAGAACAGAAAGCTGGACCAACCAAGTTACTGTGCTTGAGACATTTCAGCTCCTAAAGGAGGATGGGGTAAGTGTAGAGGATGGAGGAGGTGGACGGCAGAAAATCAGCAGGCAGAGCCAGGAGGCCTCCATCCAGAAGTAGGTCTCGAGAGGAGCTAATCATGAACTGCGGGGGCCTTGGAAAAGCCACAGAACAGAACACACACACTGCCTGGAAGATGAGAGGAGTTCCCAAGGGTGCCCCGCAACTTGAGGAACCCATAATTTTTTTTTTTTATTTGATAGAGAGAGAGACAGCGAGAGAGGGAACACAAGCAAGGGGAGTGGGAGAGGGAGAAGCAGGCTTCCCGCGGATCAGGGAGCCCGATGCGGGGCTCGATCCTAGGACCCTGGGATCATGACCTGAGCCGAAGGCAGACGCTTAACGACTGAGCCACCCAGGTGCCCCTAGGAACTCATAATTTTAACACCACAATCCAATATCACTGGGGGTAAAGGGTGTGCGGGAAAACACGGTGCGGGGGGGGGGGCGGGGGGGGGGGGTGGGTAGGGGGCTCCCGTCCCGGAGGTAGGACTTACTTCAAGCATCCAGAAATTGCTTCCTCTGCCTTTTCTAGGACAGAACTGGCTCAACAGTTTCCAAAGATCATCCATGACCGTGGCAGTTCCAGAATCTCTATATGGCAGGGGCTATCGGACACCACCCATTACCATTTACGGCAGAATGAGAAAAGGTTAATGCCTATGTGGTTGACATGAATGTCTCTAATATTTCCAGCTCTCCTTTCCTTCCAGGCCCATGGCAGGACTATCCCTCCCCATGCTTTGGCGTAAGGTAGAGCCATGTAACTTGCTTTATCCCATAAAATGGGCCTGGCAGGGACAGGAGGTTCTCCCAGGGTGAAAGCACTTAAGAGTCAACGTAAGAGTCACCACACCTTCTCCTCCGCGGCTGCAACGGGTATGGAAGCAGGTGGGGCCAAGAGAATGAAACCGCCTGGAGTGCGGTGCCAACACAGCGGACGACTTGCCTTGGAGAGTCATTTGGGTCCACAGAGAAAGTGACATGATCCAGAAGTAAAATTCCGTGGTGTTAAGGTACAGATCTGGGGGAAGTGTTTGTTACCAGAGCCTAACTTAGCCCGTCCTGACTCCCGCAGTCTGTATCAAAGAATGCGAGCGTAGGGAGACCAGTGGAGAGGATGCCCCTGCTCTGTGCTTCTGCCAAGCCACCACAAAGATGAAGATCCATTATTCTTATTATCATGATTAACCAAAAACAAA